CATTTTTACCAGCACCATTTGTGGAAGAGACTATCTCTTCCCCATGTAATGTGTTTTGGCCTTTTGATGAAGGTCACCTGACTATAGGTGGATGATTTACTGCTGGATTGTCAGTTATGTACCACTGACTGATGTGTCTCTTATTGTGTCAGTATTAGGCTGCTTTGACTACTGTGATTGTGTAGTAGGTTTTGAGATCAGGAAGTGAGAGGCTTTGCTTTTCGTTTTTAGTAATGCTTTGCTTATCTGAGACCTTTTTCCATATAAAGTTAGTGATCAGTTTTTCTATCTCTTTAAAGCATGAAGTAGAAATCTGGGTTTTGGAATTGCATTTTATCTATAGATTTTGTTAGGTAATGTTAACCCTTGCACAATGTTAAGTCTTCCTATTCATGATCATAGTATATTCTTCCAGTTTTGTAGGTCTCTTCTGGTGTTTTGTAGTACTCTTTTGTTTTCTTTGTATAGGTCTTTTGTTTCCCTGGTTGCATTTATTCCTAAATATTTAATGTTTTGTGTGACTTATTATAAATGATATTGTTTTCCTGATTTCCTTTTCTCTGATGGCTATTGATTTAGAATTTTCTTTTAGTGATGTCTTTGCCAAGTTTTGACATTAGGGTTATGCTAGCTACATAAAATGAACTTGAGACTTTTCCATTCTTTTCTACATTCTGAAATAGTGTGTAGAGACTTGGTGGCAGTTCTCTCAGTGTTTGATAGAATTTATTAGTAAAGCCATCTGTGCCCAGACTTTTTTATTAGGGATTTTTTTAAATGACTTCATCATTTTAATTTTTTTCTTTATTGTATGTCCAAGTTTTTTACTTCAGTAGGTGTTAATTTAGATAAGTCATGTTTCTAGAAATTTGCTAATTTCTTCTGGATTTTCAAATTTGTTGGAGTACAAGTCTTCATAGTATTCAATCATTATCCCTTTTATTTCCTTTGATTCTGTTGTGATGTGTCACCCATATCATTTCTTATTTGCATATTCTTTCTTTTCTTTTTAGATTTGCCAATGACTTGTTAATTTTATTCTCTCAAAGAACCAACTTATTTTCTTGTTCTTTTTCTGTTTTCAATTTTTTTTTTACTAGGTATTGAGAATATAGTTTATTTTTATTTATTTTCATTTGTGCAAAACTCACTTTTTTTCCTTAAATGTTTTATTGTGAATTATGTGATAGTTTACATGGGAGAATATTAATTTTACATTCATTCTCTTGTATATCGTCTCAATGCATCATTAACCAACCAAAGGGTATACCCTGCAATCCTTCGCCCCCCACATCCCCCCAGGTCTTCAGCACAAAGTTGCTTTCCCTCTCTGGATCTAAAGTCTCCAGCTGACCCATGGCTCCACTTCATCATCTCTGCCTCCATTTCAGGCATCACTGCTTCTCTGGGTAGGGTCCCGCTCTCCGCTCTTCTCCCTTGATGGTCCTAGGGACCTCCGCTCCTAGACTGAAAAGTTAATTACTTCCCTCCTTGCTATAAAACATCTACCTTTACATTTCCAACCCTCACAATCAGTCCTGATAACAATTATTCACTGTTGTATCACAAGAGACCCGTCTGCATTTCATTGCACCAGCCCCGCCTAGACAGATTGGATATTACTCACTGGAGAGTCTACCTTCCTCCAGGCCCTCTGGATCTAGGTTTCCTCTTGAAAGCTTGTAAGCCAGTCACTTCTTACCTTTGTAGCCCCCCAGTTTGGGTAGCTAATGTCCAAGTTGCCCATCCCTGTATACTCTGTGTGTCAAGGGGGTGGGAATGATTCTTGCTGTAAGGATTTATTCCCTCTTTTGAGCTACTGCTTCCTTAGGTTGTAGGTCAAGTTTATCAAATTGTATGAGAATACTTTTTTTTCCCCTCTTCTTTTTACTTCTGGTTGAGCTCTGATCATCCAGTCACTGAAGTCAGGATAAGTGGGTATTATCTGCCAAGTGTGGGTGTTCTTATGCATATGCCCTCTTTTATTATCAGCTGGACACTTCACTCTCCACTCAAGTCCTCTGTGGCTATGTCACTGACTCTGGGCCCAAGAGTCCCCAGGTCTTGCCACACTGCTGGCTAACCAGGTCTTCACCCGGGTTCACAGAAGTCTATTGAATATTGTAGGGCTTAGCTCACCACTTCATTGCTGTTTGTCCCTCACTTCGCCTTATCGGTGACGCGCATGGTCACCAATCAGAGCATGTATTTATGCTCTAACCTTTATTTCTTCTTGTGGTTGTAGGTTTACTTTGCTGCTCTTTTTCTAATTTTTGGAGGTGTTGGGTTAAAGTGTTGGTTTTGGTTCTGAATTCTTTTTGGATTAATGCTACAAATTGACCTCTAAGCACTGCTTGTGTCCCAAAGGTTTTGGTATATTGTGTTTTTGTTCTTGTTTCATTCAAGAAAATTAATACATTTTTTCTTCTATTACCCAGTAACTTTAACTCTTTATCAAGAAATAATAAAGATTAGCGCATTCAATTTCCATGTATTTGATTTTCCCCTTTCACTTTCCTGTTGTTCATTTCTATCTGTATAGTGTTGTGATCTGAGAAGATGCTTTATAGTATTTTTTAAAAAAGTTTTTGTGACTTGAGTGAAGGTTTAGAAGCAGATCATCAGTTTTACATTCAACAAATCATATACTTTGCTTCATTACAATGATTGCAATCCCTCCACATACCATCTGTTAACATCTTTAACTATTGCATTCCTTTATGTCTTCTGCTACTTTCATCTTACCTCTGCCAACTTTCTTGTTGTATATTGCCTGCCCTGCCACCCATGTTAACATGAGTCTACAAAAACTGACATCCACAATGAACAACAATGAACAATACCAGCACTATGTTCTTATTATTCTTTTTTCTTTCGTATTCTCCAACACAGCTCATGACGGGGTGGGAGAGGCATGTGACGCTGAGTTTCTGGCCCTAGATGGAGTTCCTATGGGCCTAGGTGCTGTCTATGTTTAGGGTTACCCAATCTGTGGAGACCCTTAAGGTGCTGGTGTGTTAGGACTAGAGGCCAGCTGATGAGTATTCCTGCGGTTCTGTAGGTCTGGAGCAGATTCCACCTGGATCTCAGTGCCAAGACAGCACTGCTTGCACCCCCCTTACAACCATGCAGTTCTAAATTGCTGGTGGTGGCCGGCCACTCTCACACTGCTGGTCTCCAAGGAACTTCGGGAAGAAGAAATCCCACCCTTTCTATCGGCCATGTGAATCCATGCCAACAGGCCCCCACCTGTCTTCCTAGCTACTCACAAAAGTTGAAGATAGCCACACTGTGTCTGACTGGCAATGTGTTTGCTCACCAGCCAGTCTCCTTTCACCATTCCTGTTCAACCTCTCCTCCCAGTAAGTATTCAATCCATTTTTCTGACTTTTCCTTTTGAATCTCAGGCTTCCAGGACTGACATCTGTCATTTGACCTCCTACATTTTTGTTTTAGGGGCGCTGTGTAGTGTGTCTGCCTAGCCTGCCATTTTTGAGTCTCAATTTTCATAAACTTCTTAAGTGCTGTTGAGTCAATTTTGACTCACAGTGACCCTGCATAGGGTTTCTGAGGAGCTGCTGGTGGGTATGAACTGCTGACCATGTGGTTAGCAGTCCAGTGCTAACTAACCACACTTCTAGATGGGAAAAAACCTAATGTTCTTTCTAGTTTTAAAAAAAGGGCAGAGGTTTATGCTCCAGGGGTAGCTTCCTACCTTTTTATGTTTCTGCCTGTTGTTCATAATTAAAAATAAACATTCTGTGCACTGCCCTTGAGTCTATCCTGGCACACAGCACCTTATAAGACAAAGCAGAACTACTCCGTAGGGTTGCAGAGGTTGTAAATCTTTCTTCTGGAACAGCTGGTGGGTTTGAACTACCAATTTTGTGGTTAGCAACTCAAAGCTTAAAATATGACACAACTTATATATAAATACTCTAGATAAGATGTTTATAATGCTTTGTTTTGTTAAGTGCTATGGAGTTGGTTCTGACTCATAGCGATCCTATATAGGGTTTCCGAGGAGCGACTGGTGGGTTTGAACTGCTGATCTTGTGGTTAGCAGTCTAGTGCTGATCCTATAGAGCCACACCAGGACTCCGTCTGATTATGCTTACACAGAAATTTCTTTTTGGTGGAGAAGATGGACGTGCTTTTTTATGACATACACTAAGTAAATACCAGTTAAAAACAAAACAGAAAATCTTGCAATATTTTTAACCCATGGGAAATAAACTTTGATACCCAACCCTTGCCTTCAGTTTTAAGACTGTCCATTTACATTGATCTGAACTTAAATTTTGATGTGGATATACATTAAAAAAGACATGTTTTTAAACATTTATTTAAACCAGTTATTTTTCTTTTTCTAAATTATAAATACCAAGAAGCAGTTATAAAATCAGACTGCCATGAAATTATACCAAGACAAAGCATAATTAATTTAAAAATTTTATTGAAACTCTGATTTAGAATATAATAATCTAATGCAATATTATATTGAATATTACCTGCTTTATGTATAGACTTCTGGGCATAATTTCTAAGAATGGATACTTTCTGTCTAATTCTCCATTACAAGCCAATTCCATATTCACAAACGTCTCTGGTACTTCTCCAACAGTTCTTTTATCAATCAATATTATCATAATTTAAAAAACATTTCACATACTGAAAATTTAAGACATCAATTTTGTGGTCATTTAAGATAGGAAAGAAAAAATTGCATAATCTAAACTGTTTTAAGATTGTTGTTAACATTTATTATGGTAATGGAATATGAAATTTCAACAAATCCATATGAATTTCTCATTACAATATTCAAGCATTTCCTACTGAAGCATGTCCAATGTTAAACAAATCTTTCTTTTAAATTAGCCTATACTGAATTAATAAGGAAAAAAACCCATTGTGGCACTTTAGATAAGAAATTTATTCTATTGCATATTTTAAGGGCCTAAGGTAAAGCCTGATCAAAAGCAGGTCAATGGAAAGCTTTTTTTAAGGAGTGAGTCGCTTAGGATCACGAGGGAACATCGAGGTTTGACGGACATTGTGTAATCCCAAAAACAGCATAGTCACTCGTTCCAACCCTGGGGAAAATAAAATTATCATTAATTCCTTTTCTGAAAACCTCTAAGGGTCTTACTTATTTAGAACAACCAATATAACATTATTGCTTAACAAAATATTTTCTTTGTGATGAACGAAAGTGACTTCTGTGATCTTGAGTCTACTCGAAATCAAATGTTTTCGGTATCAATTCAGAAACAGAGATTATATTGCATGTAGGAAAGAAAGAAATGGGAGACACAGTGAAAATGAACTATAAATATATAAAATTCTAAGTAAATGTCTAAAGTTTATGATTTAAACTATACAAAGCAAAACTACTTTAAAAACTATGTTTTCAAATGATACCAAATTCTAAAATGAATGTAATAAACTTCCAAGGAAGTTTGTAATACATTTCTGATACTTCCTGTAATAAACTTCCAAGAAAGTTTATAAATGAAAGTATTAGAAATTTATTTCATTATACTTACATATTACAGGTTGACCCTTAACATAAAAGATCATAAGAGTAAATGTTTTGAGTGTAGAAAACAGACTGAGTTAGAACAAGCATCATTTAAGAAGCAGATCAGAACTACTGAAAAATTTTGTATGTAACAAAGACTAACATCTCACATAAAGAAGGTAAGGTCACACAATATTTTGTAAAGCAATAAATTCTAATTCTAAAGACTGCTATTGCTCACCAAAAAGTATCTACAGATACAAACTTGAACCCTGTTATATTATAGTAATGTACTTTAAGACTACTGTTAAAAAATAATTTATCTTCTTCTTAAAACTTAATTAACAAGGAGAGACAGAAAACAAAAGAAAATCAAAGACACAAGAAAACAGTTAGTCCAAAGGACGAATGGACCTTGTGAACCCGTCTCCATAACCTGAGAACAGAAGAACTAGATGGTGCCCAGCTACTACTGATGCCACTCTGAAAGTCCTACATAGAATGGGAGGAAAACGTGGAACAAAACACAAAAAACATGAAAAAAAAAAAAAAAAACACCCTAGCTTAATTTCAGCTAAATGACAGACATGCCTATGTGGAGAACACCAAAGGCGTACACTTAGAACAATCAACCATATGAGAGATCAAAAGGGCAGCAGCATTTGCCGAAGGATTAAGGTCAGATGGCAGGAAAGGATAAGAAAGAAGGACTAATGTAAACAGTAACAGAAAACAGAGTGCTGTTATACTGTGGGGATTATAATCAATGTCACGTGTATGAATGGTTGAAAGGAAAACCAATTTGCGTTGTAAACATTCACTGAAATCACACACACACACACAAAAGGTAGCATTTTGAAATGTGTCCCCCTAAAACAAGCATGCAAAACCAAGTTATAATCATTCAAGCTTCCTTATTCATAAGGTCAATCACAAAAGTTAGGAAATAAGCAAGTAAAACGTTTTTACTGAGTTAAGAGAAAATAGCCCTAAATTTCTCATTAAAATTTTAAGTTATATATTCAGTGTAGCCTTGTTTATAATAACAAAAGGTTGGCAACAAAGCCATGTTCACCAATAGGAAGCGGGCTATCAAAATTATGGAGTACCCTTTTCAATGGATTCTACATAGCAATAAAAAAAGAATGAAAAGTTATTTAGGTATTGTAACTGTTTCATTTGAAATTCTGTATATTTATATATATTAGAGTTGATCCTCATTAGTTACAGATACTATATTTGCAAATCCTATTTGTTAAAAATACTCTTGGTTATGGTCAGTCTTAAATATGTGTCAGTGTAGAGAAGCAAAATAAAATCCCAGCTGAGGCTGAACAGACAGGCTAGGTTTCCCTAATTCATATTCGTAGGGACCTACAGAACCTAACTACAGAAGAGTGACTCTATTTATTTACCAAAATCCAAAACAATCCTATATATCCAGAATTCTTTTTAATATTCTTTGATATGCACACTCTTGTCAAGAGTTCAGATGGTCAAACATTTCCTCATTTAAAATTACTTGTACTCTTGAAGTGGCCATAGATGTCAATCAAATATTAGTTGAACTAATTCAAGGGAGAGCTTTAATTTGGGCTAATCTGAATGAGCCCAAGGATACAGAGAAAAATGATAATTTATAAGACATTTTATTTCTAAATTCTTATGAGAAAAAGCAACGGCTAGAATTTTATTACATTAAGTTAGTTATTCATTTTCTTTCTTTTTTTTTAGTTACTCATTTTATCTCTTGTATATATTGTTCCTTGGGAAAAAATTTCACTTTTACAAATTCTTTAAGTTGTATTGTACTTACCATTTATGACCTTATTTGTAAGCATTAGCAATATACAATATTTACTTTTTAAATTCTAATGTTTAATGTTATCTTGTCAAATGAATCTAAGGTTGGAAACTAGTATGACATGATATTAAAAAAAAATATTACCAATCCCTCCACCGGCATGAGGAGGTGCTCCAAAGCGGAAAGAATCGATGTAAGCCTTAATTTTCTCTAAATCTAAAACAAATAAATAAACATGTTACCTGGAGAAACTGTTGAATTGGTATATGTTTTGCTGTGTATATATATTAAACAAGAAAAAAATTTAAATTATTTAAAAAAATTGTTTCTGAAGTCTTTAGGTTTTTTTAGACTACTCTCCTAAATATATTGAAGCTATTTACCAATTCCATGATGTACGGCTCTCTCTGTTAGCAGTTGAGGGTCATGGATTCTTTGAGCTCCCGACAATATTTCCTCCCCTCTCATAAACATATCATAAGAGTTAGACTGTTTCTGTAGGAAACACAAAACAAACATCACTACTCTTCATGTGGCTACCATCCAGTTAAATGAAGGTGGGAAAAAATTACTTTGCATTAAGATCAACTCCATTTTCTCCTACAATTAATGATGTAACCTGTTTCAAAGAACCTACTGTTCTATATTGAGGGCTATGCCATAAAGTCTCACTTCTGGGATGTTATACCCCCCCTCCCTCCATAATAAATCAGAGTACTATAGATAACTTCTAGGAAGTGGTGCTAGTCCTTATTTCACATTTTATCTGAAATGCTTTCAATGTGGACTTTTTGGGGTCATTTTTGGACCTTAAGTTATTAACAAATGTTAGTTATTTTTAGATTAAACATTTCTTAAAGGAAAGTAAACTGAAAATTAATGTTCCCTAAGGAGCTCTGGTAGCATAGTGGTTGCGAATCTGGCTGCGAACCACAAGGTTGGCAGTTAGAAACTACCAGCTGTTCCTCAGGAGAAAGATGAGGCTTTCTGCTCCCGTAAAGATTTACAGCCTTGGAAACCCTGTACAGGGTCGCTATGAGTCGGAACCGACTCCACGGCACATAACAACAATAATCTATTCCCTATCAAGTGTCTGATAACAGCAGTTCTAACTTATTCCCGTATCCCAAAAAATATCCGTTGCCCTCAAGTCACTTCTAACTCATAGAGAATGTATAGGACAGAGGAGAAAGACCATAGAATTTCCAAGGCTGTACTCTTTACTGAGGAGTCCTGATGTGGCGCTGTGGGCTAATGCATCAGACTGCAAAGTCATTTGAACTGCAAGGTCAGTGGTTCAAACTTACCAGTTACTCCTTGGAAACCCTATACAGGGTTGCTATGGGTCAGAATTGACTCAAAGGAACTTAACAACACCACCAATCTCTACTGAAGCAGAGTGCCACATCTTTTTCCCACAGAGTAGCTGATGGGTTCAAACCACTGACCTTTTGGTTAGTAGTCGAGCACTTAACTACTGTGCCACCAGGACTCCTTTCCAATAGTGGTTTATATAAAAGGTTGTTCCTGGACCGAAAGTCTCAGCATTACTTGGGAACTTATTAGAAATGCAAATTCTCAGGCCTCATATGAGCCAGACTTACAGTATTAGAAACTCTGGGGGTACTGCCTAGCAATTTACATTTTTACAAGTCCTTCAAATGATGTTGATGCACACTAAAGTTAGGGAACCGCTGTAGCGGAAAACAGCAAAAAGCAACAAGACATCACTTAAATGATTAACTTCTAGGGCCGAATGTGACTTCCCAAGTCAAGGTCAATGATATAATTATATGCTACTAATGTTTGCTTATGTGATCCCCTCCCCTGATAATAAGAGATTGAAAACTGACAATGAAAATGATTTTTAATATAGGTATTCAGGACAAATTTGCTAGAATATTCAAATTTCACAGTATCATTTTGATCCGTTACAAGCAGAAAACAGTAATAATATGTATAACAATGTGTTCACTGAAACTATGAATTAATATCATTATTCCATTATAAATTTGATAAATTGACAAAGTTTTTCTTTTCTCCTAAACATGCTATTTAAAACCATATTACTTACAATATTTCTTGGGTCAGGCATGGTATAGAAAGGTCGTACAGCCAAGGGATACTTATCAAGTATATAAAAATCTGTATCATACTAGAAAAATAATAAATGCAATTAAAATACATGTTTTTAAAAAGTCAACAATTTAGTAATTATTTTTCTTGTATTTTTTAATATATAATTTTTTGTTCTTCAAAACTACTGTTAATCACACTGTATATGAAAGGAGCTCTGGTAGCGTAGTGGTACGAATCAGGCTGCAGGCCGCAAGGTCAGCAATTCCAAACTACCCGCTGTTCTGCGGGAGAAAGAGGAGGCTTTCTGCTCCCGTAAAGATTTACAGCCTCAGAAACCCTGTACAGGGTTGCTATGAATTAGAACCGACTTCACGGCACACAACAACAAAATACAAGGACGAGTCACAAATTATCCACACTCCATTTACATTTAGACACCTGTCTGAGGGCAACACTGAGTGAATGTGCAGGTGAAAGGATTCTGGCAAACAGATGAGTGACAGTAGCAAATCATTTGCAAATCAGCCACGGCTATGCCTATAAAATCATCCACAGGGTTTCTAAAAGTTTGTGCAAGGTGGACACCAAAACAACTCACGGAAGAGCATAAACAGAAGCTTTTGAATACCTGCAAACAAAATTTGGACTGATACTTGAAACAAAGTAAAAGTTTCTTAAAAAAAAAAAAAAAAAAATTGTTACTGGTGACGAGACATGAACTCATTCATGACTATGATGAGCCTGAGACTACACAGCAGAGGATGGAATGCAAACATCTTTAATCACTGACCAAGAAAAAGTTCAAACACATCAGATGGAAAATTGATGCTTACAGTTTTCTGGGATTCTCAAGGGCTAATATTGGAAAGCTATCTGGAAAAAGGTTGAACAATCAAGTGCTCATTACGGTGAGATGCTCACTGAAGAGCTGAAGCCTAAATTTCACATTAAATGTACAGGCTTGCTATCCAAGGGTGTTGTGATCTTGACAATGCACCTGTGCCCACACTGTTGACATTCTGCAAACACTTTGTTTTGAGGTGTTAAACATCCTTTCTATAGTCCTCATCTTGCTCCATCAGACTTTCACCTGTTTCATCCCCTGAAAGCAGCTTTTTGAGGATGGCGATTTACCTCTGATGAAGAAATGAAGACAGCAGTGCATTCATGGCTCACAGCTCGGACTAAAACATTTTTTTAATAAAGGAATATGAAAGCTTATTGACAGATGGACAAAGTACTGAAAAGCAAGGAAATTATGTTGAAAAATGATGTGTCTTTTTAAAATGTTGAGTAAAATAAATTCTACAGCCAGAGTGTGGAAAAATTTTGACTCACCCTCGTAAAATTGATTAATTATCCTGTTTTAAAAAAAGATATAACATGTATGCTACAGCATCTGTCAGGATTTATGAATTCTTCTAGTACTTAATTTTCAAGAGCTGTTTACTATTCATTCATAGTGTAAAAATTCATTTTCCTGTTTCTTTTGACATGTAATCCTTTTCTAACATCTCCCCCATTATATATTATGCAAAACATCTTTAATTCTTGTTTTTTTCCCCTTTGCTATTCTGGGTCATTAATTTTTAAAAAGCATTTTAACACTGTTTTGTTCAATTATTTCAAATTTCTTTGGGTTCATTTAACTAAACTTACATTAAAATGTATGTTATTTTGGGAAGACTTGGACATTTTATACAATATTCATCACCAAAAAGTATGCCGTATTTTCCCAATAATTAGTTGTTCTTAGATATCTAAAAAAAGTTTGGCAGTTTTTTACAATGAAAGCTACAACTGAAATGATGTTAGCATAAAATTGTAACTTTTATTAGACCATAATGTGACCTCATTTAAATAACATTTCAACGGATTTTGACTTTAAACATTTTTGCTAAAATTGGAGATTGCAGAGAATGTCAACAGCTGACAGACTGGAATTGGTCATACTGAAACAGCATGTTTATGGTTATAATGTCAGTACTGTACAATTCCAGAAATATCCGAGTTCCCCAGTCAGTTCAACAGTTTTGAGTGCAACCAGCAGGAGGAGCCCAAGAACTGTTTTCATTACACAATTTCTAAAAAAAAAAAAGGCCACACTAAGACTGGTTTTTACCTTTACCTTTTCTGGAGTTTTAGAAAATACAATAGAAAAGTAGCTTTCACATCAAAGGAAAAAAGGAAGCACATTCTTTTCTTCCCCAGTATGCTAGGAGACAGTTTCTAAATAGCTTCCAATCATTTTGAAATCCTTTCTAAATAATCTGACAGAGATTATCACTTTTATTGACGACATCTTAATATAAACAGTACATGATGGGCGGGGCCTGTCTATATAATTTTCAATATTCTAGGTAGCCCCCTGCCCACTTAAAAAAGAAATACCCAACTTTGGCTTTTATTTATCCAGGAATCATACCGTACTAGAAAGATTATTTCCCTCTGTGACAGTTATGTAGCACCAGGACACATTTCAGATTTAGAAGAAATTCCGCGTGTACAAAAAAGTCCTACCTTTTCTTTTACCAAACGACCCAAAAGTTTTTCATTTGGTGTACTGGAAAAGAAACACAAAATCAGGTGTTTGATAATCAAACAGTAACTTAAAACAGTTATAAGCTAACTTTATAACGTAACACCTCTAAATTCTCAAAGAATAAAAGATTTAGCCTGAACAGTTGTCTATCCCCTTGCCTTATTAAAAAAACAACAATTGCTGTTGAAAACCAATAGGTGCTGTTCAATAACATTCCACTAAAAACTATAAACAGAATTTAGCAATTCAATGATTTAGAAGTAATCAAGAATGTAATGGTTTTCCACAATAACATAAAAGTTTACACTAGTCTTGCCATTGAATTATTTTCCATTTTAAGATGATTTCCTCTTGTTTGTTATTCTTTATGTTGTTGTTATGTGTCGTGGAGTAGGTTCCGTCTCACAGCGATCCTGTACAGGGTTTCTGAAGCTATAAATCTTTACAGGAGCAGAAAGCTTCATCTTTCTCCTGAGGTACAGCTGGTAGTTTCGAACTGCTGACCTTGTGGTTCACAATCCGATTTGTAACCACTATGCTACCGGAGCTCCTTTATTCTTTATGGAGGGGTTTATAAAATAAAAGTCAGTATTTTCAAGTCTCTAAAACGGTGGCTACAAATGATAAGCACTGGACTGAGAACCACAAGGTCCATAGTTTGAGCCCACCAGCAACTCCCAGGGAGAAGGATGAGGCTTTCTTGCTCCCTTAAAGATTTTTAAGCCTCAGGAATCCTACACAGGGTTACTATGACTTGACAGCACTTAACAACAAAATGTGAAAGTGCTTATACAAACACATTAAATTTCTATAGTCAAGTGTTAACTAATGTTAGCTTCTCTTTGTATTTAAGAGCAATTACCAAATTACTGCACCTATATTCTCTCTTGTACCCCTGTGTACTGCTATAATGCTTTAAATAAAACATTGCAATTTTGGAACCTCTGAATAAAACTTAAGTAGACAACATGTTTTAATCTTTACTAAATTATATAGTTATGTTTCAAAATGATATATTGTATGAACCAAATTTAGATAATCCATTATTTTTAGATGGTGAAACCACAGTAAAAAAAAAAATCCTTATACTCTTTAAAGGGTTGTAAATTTGAGGGGAAAAAATGAAAACTTACATTTACAATGAAACTTACTTAAGTTTAGGCAAACAACATTAAACTTAATAATATTTTATTTAAACAAAACAAAGCATCACTTTATATCCTAAAATTACTAAAAGGGATGTTTATTATCTGGGTGAAAAAAACCCACTCCTCCTCCCCTCCCCCCAAAACCCAAAAACCACCCAAATTATTATTCATTAACATAGTAATTCTTTCACACCTTAAACTTACATTACTAAAGTTTAAAAAAAAATTCACAAAGACAAACCTCAGATCTTCTTCATCGCCCATTTCAATTCCAGCTTCCCTAAGCATAGCCAATGCTTCACAATACTCTAGTCTTAAAGTTGGCTCCAAGAACTTGAATGGTTCACATGGGAATTGTTTATTCACCGTTTGAATTTCAGTCTGAAACCTATTTGCACAGTGATTTTATTAGTTAATAAAAATACATGAGATAAACGTTTCCCCCACAAGAGGTCACTCTGGCAGTATGAAAACTCATTCTTTGAATCAGAAAAATCATTCTTTGAACCAAGAAAAGTGTTATCAAGAAATTATTTAAGTTAAATAAAATTTAAATACTTAAAGTGTTTAACACCATTTCATAATCTCAGGTTGTTTGTCAGCACAGTAGAATTTAAAAAGTTAAAACTTTCTTCATAATTCAATTCTGATAACATGGCTGAACTTCTGGTGTGGCGTTGTAGGATCAGACTGGACTGTGAATCACAAGGCTGGCAGTTCAACCTCACCAGCAGCTCCTCAGAAACCCTATACAGGGGTTGCTATGAGTTGGAACCTACTCGATGGCACTTACCAACAACAACAACATGGTTGGCATCCTGGTGTGGTGCTGTAGGATAAACACTGGACCACAAGGTAGGGCTGAATCACAAGGTTGGTGGTTCAAACTCACCAGCTGCTCCTCGGAAGCCCTGTACAGGGTAGCTATGAATTGGAACTGACTCCATGGCACTTAACAACAACAAGGTTAAGAAATATAAAATACACATTTTATGAAGCATTAAACATCTGACTTGTACTCCCTTAACAGCACTTGTTACCAACAAGGGAGACTAAATTAATGAGCATCTGTCTTATCACCCCCATTCTCAGTCTACTGTAAATTGGTTTAGGTGAGTGCCTATTTCTTTCCCATCTTGATAATCCCTATAATATAGTGCTTACCCAATACACAACAGGTGTAACACAAATGTTTGCTGCAGAATTTAATTTCTGCTGTGGATGATATTAAGATTTTAAAAGTATGTATTTGCTAAATTATTTATAGATAAATCACAGGTGAAGCTGCTTCAAATAAGGGGTGGGAAAACAGGAAGAACAAAATTAGCCATGGGTTGACAGCAGTTGAAACTGAAATTCTAAACGGAATGCATGGAAGTTCATTAAAGTAATCTACTTTCATATGTGTTTTGAAACTTTCCACAGTTAATAGTAAAATATATACTTACATTCCGTGAAAACAATGGAAATTAAAATACTATCATTTCTTGAATGGCCTTAAAAGACTATCTGGGGGTGCAAGAAATCTTAAGCTATTGATTTATTCAAATGTTAATACTAGAAGGGCTAAGAAGACCCCAATGATTGATTTTTAAATTTTTTGATTTGGGTATTAACCTTCATTAATGGCAATCAATGATAATTTAAGAACCTATCAATACTTTATTATGTAAATGTATATATACTTTTGAAGAAGTAAATCATGATTAATATGAGAAACATGACAAAAGAGAGGTAATCCAATTTACAAATAACATTTTTTTGTGTTATTTGTAAATTAACTTAAAAATTTTTAAGTTGCTCATAAAATATAGAAAGATGATTTTGTTTTTAAATTGCCACCTTAAAGTTACTGCCGAAGTCCAGTGATAATGATGTCAGTCTGTAATTCTAAGTGATCTGGTTAACCCTAAAAGCCCAATTCACACTTGGTTTACTATTATAAAAACTAAAGTGGAAAACTGTCTTCATTATTAAATAAAAGAGCTACCAATATTAAAATAAATGGGCTTTAGAAAAACTTTCCTGAATTCTAAATATGAAAAGAAAATGAGAAAAGCTCTATTCCTTCATCATAATTTCAAAGCATACTTTGGTTTTTAAGGAAACTCCATTAGCTGTTCATTGTTCCATGGACTATTTGATTAAAAGTTGCTAGAAATAGACAACACCAAAATGTTTGACAGGACAGATTTAATTAAAAAAAAAAAAAAAAAAAGCTGTTTACTATGATTAAAGTTACAATGTAATATAGAGGATGCCAGGAAATATGGTGCTTATGTTACAATATTTTTACATAACATCGATTAATTTCTGGGTTTTTGAAATTAGCCATCCATCTTGCAATGGGGTTTTGTTGTTGTTGTTGTCAGGTGCCATCGAGTCGGAACCGACTCATAGCGACCCCTTGCACAGCAGAACGAAACAATGTTCGATCCTGGGCCAACCTCACCACCGCTGCCACCCCC